GTCCGTCAACGCCTTGGCTGGGTCTTGGGGGTGCACAATGGCAATGTTTCCGATTCGGGAAAATGTTCCATTTCGCACCTCACTTGGATTAGACACTTTCGCAATGGCCCCACGGCGCTGAACTCCGAAGCCAACGAGGGTGTCTCCAACAGCGGGGCGCGTGGGAGCGACCGCTGGATTGGGGAGGACCAGATGGCCTTCAAGCATCAGTTCAGGAACTAACAAGAGAGGTTCCTCGATTTCGACAATTGAAGATTCGTCAGTCGCAATCTCAAAGATCAAAGAATCTGTTGCCAAGGACTTTGAAACAACAGTTCCAACCTCAAACATAGGGTACGAATACCCAGCGCTTCCGGGCTCTTCCCCACATGGAAGAGGGTTCTGCTCCGTGTCGGCCTCCGCAAAGACAAAGATCGGATCACCCACATTGGCGAGATGCCCAACAGTGAGCCCGTAGAGTCGATCTCCGCTCTTAATGACGAAACTCAAGGTACAGCCGCCTCCATCTTGGTTCAAGACCCAATCGCCGCCCCGCAAGTAAGTGTCCGCCGCACCATTAACCTTCTCCAGCCCAGCAGTTACACGGGTTTCCCGGTCTGGTGACCACACTTCCTCCAAGGCAGCAGCGTCGAGAACTTGAGCACGGCCCCCAGAACCGGCAACGGCTTCAACCGCAGCTGGACCAGTATGCTGAAGGTCACTACCGTCCTCCACACCCACAGGGGATGGAGCATCATTAGATGTCTTGTGCTTCTTGCTTGATGGTTCCATCTTGATATCTGAAAGCAATCGTCGTGGCGGGATTCAATCGTGTACAGTCGACAAGATCCAAATCAATCGACGACAATGGCGAAACCCAATCGTATCGCTTCTCTTTATCAATCGCTTGCGATAACAGCGTTAGCAACTTGAAAGATCCGGAGGTCTTGTCCCAAAAGGTCCAAACAGCGAAAAGAACCAACAACAGCGAAAAGATATCGTCGTCGTGGCACCGAAACTTTTTGCCGTGTCTCTTGAACCAAGAACCGTAGAGTCCGCGCTATAGCAGGGTTGTCGTAGTGTGTTGTGTTTAAAAAAAAAAACAGACGAAGTTTGATGTTAGTTAATGAAGTTTTCAGATAGTCGGTCACGGCTTTTGGCCATTGCCGACAATTTTTTAGTTCGCTCGGCACTAGGCACTCACTTACGATGAACGGAATTTTTATGAGGGAGCGCAGGAGTTGTGAGGGTCTCATTCCCGCACCTAAGGACACTGAGACCCAGGAAAGCGCAGTTAAGTACACTCTCCTTTTCATTCACAGGACAATGACCGATTTGAACTGGATCCCACTGTACATGTGGCGTCGTCAACCATGCAGGCGTGCGTTCAGTGTGGGAACGACCAAGCACGCCAACATAGCGATTTTGCAGCCCCTAAACAACTGGATCCGTGAGATAACGACTTTCCTGAGAAAGTCGCGAGATTCGCGCGACTTTCGCGACTTTGGAAAGTCGCGCGACTTGGAACACCTTTTACCGCGACTTTCGTGACTATGTAAAACTTTAATTGATTTTTACTAGCACCATATCGCGACTTTCAACGACTTGTACAGCGACTTTCGCGACTTTAACGACTTGACGCGACTTTTACCGCGACTTTCGTGACTTTTCGCGACTTTAACGACTTTAGCGACTTTAGCGACTTCCACGATCACCAATCGGGGGACTTCCTGGATGGAACGACGCAAACAAACCAATGACATGATTGAACTTCCTAAGCAAGCCCCCTGAGTCACAGTTTTCACAACTAGCTGGAGAAGCCCTCGCAACACGTCAAGAAACTGTGGCGATCTTTATCGATGTTCGATGGTGCCATGGTCGGTGTTGTGTTCGAGTCTTTGATGATTTTAGAAGTATCAGTCAATGTCCTCGGTACAAAATGTGCTCAAATTGAGCTCAAATTTCTCTTTGTCGCCTCTGCATTAACTGTTCAAATTTGAAACGATTCTCTTCGCGTTTCTCCATGGCCCGTTTGAATTGAAGACGATTGACTTCCTTCCTCCTCGCCTGCGCTCGCCTCTGGTAGCGCTTTCTCCCCTTCATGATGTTTTCGTACCTTTTCCCAGCAGCTTTGATCTCTTCTTCTGTAAGGAGACTTTCATAGTAGATCGCGTACATCTTCGTCACCATTTCAATAGCGTAATCTCTGATTTTGTTGTCCCTCTTGGCAAACACTTCCAACGCCGTCCTTTCACCGGATTGAACAACACCGTATGGAAACTTCACCTCACCCCTGGCATCATGAACAAAATGCTTGACAATGTTGCTCTTATACGTAATCTCGTCGATAGTCATGTTGTGTCTCATCAGAGTCGTCTCTTCCATCACCTTGGAATATTCCAAGACAACATCCACAACTTTAACTGATCCTAAGTTTCCTTCATTAAGTCCGTGACATATGGCATTGTACAATATCATGCTCGTCATCTTTAGATCCAATTCATGCTCTTTCTTCACCTCACTGTTTGTTTGGAACTTAGCAACAGTCGTGTTGATCCATTTGAACCCCATGATGAACTGCTCCGGGCCATTGGAAAATAGAAGGAGAGGGGTGAAGCGAAGCGCGTGCAAGATAACCTGAACCCTATAGGATGTTTAAATCTTGCACTACTATTACCCTTCTGGTCCCCCCAGTCCCCCTTACTGTTTTACTATACCGGTAGGTTCCTTGACGAATCTTCGAGATTCGCCTGGACCATCATGGTCCCCCTACTGTTTCCCCTACAGTGTGAATCAATGTGAATCTTCCCACCCCGGTCCCCCTGTGCAGTAAGCTTAAAGATAAGATAAGAATTCTTAGCCTTCGCGGCGACTGAGCGCCTTACCAATCTTAGCCTTCGTGGCGACTGACTGCCCTTCTTGTTAATAGCCTTTGCGACACAGCCCCCCGTCCAGTAAGGTTAAAGTTATAGTGTAGGTTAGGGAATTTGCCATCCTTGCCAATCTCTCGATCCTCCATTAACATTTGACCACTCTCTACTCCTTGTGCAGTGAGGTTAATGATAAGAACCTCCTCTGGTCCCAGGCCGATCCCATACTGTCTTCCCCGGACCAACATTAAGTAACACTCACGGTCCTCCCTTCGCGTTAAGTCTAATTAAGTTGTCAACCCATAACCCATTCAACCATAGCCAGTCATTCTTCAGTCGCCAATCCATAACCCATTCAACCATAGCCAGTCATTCTTCAGTCGCCAATCTATGCAGTAATCCACTTCCAAGACTCAAACTCACACCTTCCCTGTGCAATAAGGTTAAAGATAAGAATTCTAAATGTGTCGCAATTCTGACACTCGTGAACCAATGTTCCATTGACAACCTAGCGAAGACGTTATGTCAAACCCACAGAAAAACACCTCATTCCTCTCGGTGCGTCTCACAACCTAAGCACCACCTCCCACCACCTCGAAGTCGCGACCATGGCAACCAACAAAGATCCCACAATCACAGCGGAAGATGAAGACCTCACCCTCACTGTCATTACAGAATTGGAGGACAAAACAGCCCTCGAGGACATCAGAGATGTGAAAGGCCATAGCAACAAAGCCCCTGCCGCTGTGAGGCACTTCAACGCCTTCCTGGTGCTCTACTGTCAAGAGGAAAATGCCCCCGTTGTTACCGCAAATGCACTACGCTAAAAGCTAGTGTAAAGATCTTTCGAGTGTTTTGAGTTTGAGAGAATGA